CGATTCTTTCTAATCCTATTCCACCAAATGTGCCTTTTCCTAGCAGGTTCAAGCAATCTAAGAAAGAAGAGAATGAAAAAGATATTCTAGAAACCTTCAAGAAAGTACAAGTCGATATCTCACTCCTTGATACAATCAAGCAAGTTCCAAAGTATGCTAAATTTTTTAAAGAGCTTTGCACAACAAGGAAAAGGATTTCGAACAAGGAAGTGGTACGGGTAAGTGAGAATGTTTCAGCAATTTTACAAAGGAAACTGCCTCCTAAATGCAAGGATCCAGGTAGTTTCACAATCCCTTGTGTTATTGGAAATACTAAGTTTGAACATGCTATGCTAGATTTAGGTGCTTCCGTTAATGTCATGTCATACTCTATTTATGCATCTATGAACCTAAGAGAGCTTAAAAACAATGGGGTTATTATTCAATTAGCTAATTGTTCTAATTCATATCCGAAATGAGTTTTGGAAGATGTTTTGGTGCAGGTTAACCACTTGATATTTCCAGCAAATTTTTATGTGCTTGACATGGAAGATTCGGCCCATTCTACACCATTGTATATCCTACTTGGGAGACCTTTCATAAAAACAGCCCGCACCAAGATAGATGTGTTCAAGGGGATATTAACAATGGAATTTGATGGCAAGATTATTGATTCTAACATTTTTGAAGCTATAAGGTATCCTAAAGACGATCATTCTTGTTTTTCTATTGATGTATTTGATTCATTGGCGCAGGAATATCTTGACTCCTTGGAGAAAGATCCCCTTGAAACAACCATTGCCGAAGGAATAGGACTTAAACCCAAAGTGGTCGTGCCTAATTGTTCAGAAATTGGCGAGATGGTGGCTGCCCTTAAGTCTTTGCCACAACACATTGGTAAGCCTCCAATCCCAATTCCAATTCATGTTTCTACTAATAAGTTGTTACCCTTAGTGATTCGGGCACCCTCCCTCGAGCTTAAACCGTTACCAAATCATTTGAAGTACGTTTTCTTGGGAGATAAAGGGACGTTGCCTGTCATAGTCTCTTCATCACTCATGGCAATGGAGGAGGAGAAATTGGTTCGGGTGTTGAAAGAGTACAAAACAACCATTGGATGGACCTTGGCCGACATTAAGGGAATTAGCCCTACAACATGCATGCATCGCATACTTCTAGAGGAGGGGGCTAAACCAACTTGAGAGGCTCAACGTTGAATCAACCCTCCAATGATGGAAGTTGTAAAAAAAGATATTATCAAGCTTCTTGATTGTGGAGTGATTTATCCAATTTCGGATAATCGTTGGGTTTCACCGGTTCAAGTTGTTCCAAAGAAATCTGGAGTCACTGTGGTGAAGAATGCAGAGAATGAACCTGTGCCCACTCGTATCCAAACAGGTTGGAGAGTTTGCATTGACTATAGGAAGCTCAACGCCACCACTAGGAAAGATCACTTCCCTTTGCCGTTCATTGATCAAATGCTTGAAAGGTTAGCTGGTCATTATTTTTATTGCTTTCTTGATGGTTGTTCGGGATATAATCAGATTGTTATAACTCCAGATGATCAAGAAAAGACTACTTTTACTTGTCCATTTGGTACTTTTGCTTATCGTCGAATGTCATTCGGTTTATGTAATGCACCAGCCATGTTTCAAAGATGCATGGTAAGTATCTTTTTAGATTTTGTTGAGAAGATTATTGAAGTATTCATGGACGATTTTAGTGTTTTTGGTGATTCGTTTGATGATTGTTTAACTAATCGCACATTAATCTTGAAACGTTGCATTGAAACTAACCTTGTTTTAAATTGGGAAAAATGTCACTTTATGGTAAAATAAGGCATAGTTTTAGGTCACATAGTTTCAGAAAAGGGAATTGAGGTTGATAAATTGAAAATAGATCTTGTACGCTACTTACCCTTTCCCATTTCGGTGAGAGAGGTTCGTTCTTTTATTGGACATGCAGGATTCTATAGACAATTCATCAAAGATTTCTCGAAGATCTCCACACCCCTATGCTGACTCCTACAGAAGGATGTGCCATTTAAATTCGACGATGAATGTGAGAAGGCCTTCAATCACCTCAAGGAGATGCTCACTTCGGCACCCATCATAATTCTACCAGATTGGAGTCTTCCTTTTGAGCTTATGTGCGATGCTTCAGATTATGCATTAAGGGCCGTTTTGGGACAAAGAAATGACAAGCAGCCGCATGTCATCTACTATGCTTCTCGAACCTTAAATGACGCTCAATTAAACTACTCCACTACTGAAAAAGAACTTCTTGCTGTTGTGTTTGCTTTAGATAAGTTTCATTCGTATTTACTTGGTACTAAAGTTATAATTTACTCTGACCATGCAACTTTGAAGTACTTACTCACAAAGAAAGAAGCTAAGCCAAGACTTATTCGCTGGATGCTTCTTCTCCAAGAGTTTGATGTGGAAATCCGAGACAAGAAAGGAAGTGAGAATGTAGTGGCTGACCACTTGAGTCGTTTGATGAAGATCCATTACCTATCCCAGAAGCATTCCCGTACGAGCAGCTGCTGTCCATTGAGGTAAGTGAGCCATGGTATGCCGATTTAGTGAATTATTTGGTGTCTATACAAGTTCCAAGCACCCTAAACAAGCACCAACGTGACAAACTTAAAAAGGATGCACAGTTTTATGTATGGGATGACCCTTATTTGTGGAAATATTGCCCTGATCAAATTCTTCGTAGGTGTGTGCATGATTCTGAGTTTAATTCAATTTTAACTTTCTATCACACTTATGCATGTGGGGGTCATTTTGGTACACAACGCACAACACTTAAGGTTTTAGAATGTGGATTTTATTGGCCTACTATCTTTAAGGATGCTAGAATTTTTTGTATGACTTGTGATCGTTGTCAAAGAATGGGCAATATAGGTGCAAAAGATCAAATGCCGCAAACCCCTATCTTTTCTGTTGAGATTTTTGATGTTTGGGGTATTGATTTCATGGGTCCTTTTCCTTCCTCACATGGTCTATTTTACTTGTTGTGGATTATGTGTTGAAATGGGTGGAAGCAAAAGCCACCAGTACTAATGATTCCAAAGTGGCTGCAGATTTTGTCAAAACTAACATATTTGCCAGATTTGGAATGCCAAGAGTACTTATAAGTGATGGGGGTTCCCATTTTTGCAATCAAACCATCGAGGCGTTGCTCAAGAAATATAATGTCACACATAAGGTTTCGACATCTTATCACCTTCAAACAAGTGGGCAAGCTGAAATTTCTAACCGAGAAATCAAGCAAATTTTGGAGAAGACAGTTGGGCCAACTCAGAAAGATTGGAGCTTGCGTTTGAATGATGCATTGTTGGCGTATCGTACAACCTACAAAACACCAATTGGGATGTCTCCATTTCGGCTCATCTATGGGAAACCTTCCAAAACGATACTTCAGCTAGGAAGGCAGCATTCAAATAAGCCAATGCGCTTCCTAGGGGTCTTGGTGCAGCTCGATAGGTTTCAAAAAGCAACATGGTGTTGGTTTCTCGAGAACCTTTTCTAATTGCTTCCCAGTTTGGGATTTTAACACTTAAGTACACTTTTCGGATCCAGTGGAGGCCTTTTCAGAAAATCCTCCAACATAATCGTCTCAGATCTAGCACCATTCATTATATCTACCTCTGAATCCACAGCAAGAAGTATTGTAGCAATATCTGAAGGAAAACATTTTCTCTGTGCCATCACCAAATTGCCTCCTATACTAGCTGTATTTCTGATGAACCCGGAAGCAATTTTCTCCATATGAATGGCAATATTTTTTAACACATCACCACCTCTTGATGGAGATCCACCGTTGTCATTCTTTCTCAAAGACTCAATAACTTTAGAGATTGTTACAATTGCTCCGAACTCAGCCCCCGTAGGATCGATCTTAATCATTGATAATTCAGGAACACATCTGAGATCAATGTTATCTGTCATAGCGCTTTAGTTCCTTGTAATAGCCCGTCCCTGTGTTTCCAACAACTAATTTCATCTCGTTTGCACTATCAAAATCATTATCTTTCAATAAGTTTTGAAGCTCCTCAACTCTAACAGGATTGTACCAACCATATCTCTTAGGATCCAAGGGCATGGAAGAACGAATTTCTTTCTTTTAGAAGTCCGGAAATGTACATATGTCTCCATTACGGTTATATGGAGGCAAACTCTTTACTTTTACTTCCTTACTATCTCCCTTTTTCCAAAAGGAGTTGAACCCCAAACCCTCCATATCAACATCAGCTGCGAAACTCTTGCAGGCATCAGCAATTGGTCGATACCCCGTACATCGACAGAGGTTACCTGCAATAGACTTTTCAGCTTCGGAAACAGAAAGCTTGGAGAACCCAGGAGGGGGATCAGGTCTATTCGTCTTTTCAGCATTGAAAAGAGCTCCAAAGGATGAAACACACATGCCAGGAGTACAAAAGCCGCATTGAGAAGCATGGAAACCAGCAATCCTTTGGTGAATTGGGTGGAACCCGTCTTTGATATTTCCAAGGCCTTGAGTGGAACATCCATTTATACTGCAAAGCAGAGTGAGACGTGAACTTGCGGTAAAATCTTTCACTTCTTCGAGGACAAGGTCGTACTTCAGTTAAACAATATGATCAAGAGTATTGGATTAGAGGACAAGGTCGTACATTGGTAATGAAATGTGGTTTCAATTCATTAAAATTAACAATTGACCACTGCCTCGCTAATTGAAATTTAATGGATTGTACATCGAATAAGGATAATGTAAAGAAATATAAATGACATTGATAAGCAACTAAATAGTTTAATTGAGCATAATCAAGAATTAATTAATTAATTAATCAATCATAAGAAAGGTTCGTATTTGCCTTTTAAGTTAGTTTCGGGTTTCGGGACCTAAACGAGTTCTAGTCCGCAAGGCATATTTAGTTTAGTTGTATGACAACTAAATTAAAACGAGCAATTAACCAAACTAGAAAGGGGAGGCCGGCCATGCTTGGGGTAGTGACTTATTTACAAGTTTACCACTCAAATGAAGAGACGTATAAAAGTAACTTCATAGCATTTCCTTGGGTATGTAGAATGTAATATACAACGGCTATCATCATCTCTATATGCAGCTCTTAACGTCCCACAAGAAGTAGTAACTATCCTTCACTCTCCAAAAACCAATAAGTAAATTTTGTTAACGTTCGCCAAATAACACTCAACAAATAAGAATCTGCTACCTCAAGGCCTCAGGATTTCTGAAAAATTTGACACAAATCAGTTGGAGACATCATCTACCGTGAATCTTTGAGAAATTACACTCTTCAATCATTGTAACCAATGGGGCTGCTTCACGTATTGTCGGAATGTCCAAATTCATGTCACGGATCTTTAGATTGCGAAAGCATAGAAGGCCATTTCATTACCAACGTCTGAGTAATACTTGTTGTAGTTGAGGTATTCCCAAAAATGAGAAAGTCCAAACTCCCCATGTTTCGGTGACTTTAGGTAACAGAGGTGCAGTTCTTTCATGTTCTTGTCAAAGGTTTGTTTTATAGCAACCACCTGCAAAACAGGTACACATGCATGTCATCAACAGGTTCGTTCGTGTTTTGAACATGATATTTCAGCTCACCGATTTTCATTTTAATATTCAACTGCACAAATCCTCTATAATGTCTCATCACAAATGTGCATGACCATCTACTTAAGCACCCGAAGCAACAGAGAGTTGTTTAGGATGCCATGACACATGAATGCATGTACGAAAACAAACCCCATTTCCTTGATGACTTGGGTGTTCCTGAAAACATAGTATGCTTTGCATTTTAAGCACCCAAAGATCGCAATACCAAGCTAGCAACATTTTTCTTGCACTTTCGCCTAATGATCATAGTTGCTGTCCCCTACTATATAAATGGCATTGCTAGTTCAACTAAAATGAAATTGTTTATAATTTTATGTCACCTTAAATTTCATGTCCACGGTTATTTTCAACTTTACAAATGTGATCATCACCTGGGATATATTCATTCCAGAAAGCCTTGCAGTTCTATTCCCTTCACCTGTTCCAACATCCCACATTCCCCCAGTCAGACAAGACCTGAAGTCAAGAGCACACTGCAGAATGCTTTCAATGATGCGAGCTATAGGTCGTGTTTCATCAGATAGGAAACATCTGCAAAGGTAAGATTCATGGTTAATTGACAATCAAAGGAACATTATCGAGAAACATAGAAATGTCAAACCATTCCACAAGGAGGGCAGAATTCCCTTTGTTCAAAATTCAAATTGCTTATCCCTAACCACCCTTTTGCTGGGGACAAGAAACAGTTTTCCACCTTATGAAATGATCTCTTAATGTGGGCCTACCTCTTTTCCACAATCAGATCCCAGTCCCACAAATTCAAACCTCGATTTCCACCAGGTGGAAGAACCCAAAATTTCATAAGCCAACTTCACAGTTGACAACCCAATTTAGCAGCTAAACCCTTCAGTTTAGTTTCTTGTGCATTGATTCAGAAATCTTTCAGCAGACACCAAGACACACTTGGTGCAATCTTTTTTTCTCACTTACTAAAAGTGAATAAAATGCTTTTATTGATACAATCACAAAGCATGGAAATTTAGAAATACAGGGCATACATGTAACAATGGTAAGAATAATTTACGCAATGACCAATGAACTTACATGTCAAGCGAATCTGTTAAATATGCCATATGTGCAGACTGAAGATCCATCATATCTTTGACCTACAGTAACCAGATGTCAATTTTTAAGATCGTCGTCATAAAATATTCTAGAAGAAAAGGCATACCAGAAGCAATTGAATTATATGGCATAAAGAGACATGATATGAATCGTAGATGTCTACGTGTGGCAATTTATTTTTCAAGAGATACTGCTAAAATTAAATAACTTTACAATTTACTCGACAATAAATAGTTCAATCTAACATAGAGCAATCTACCCAAATTTGAATTTTGATTTTTCTTTCCCTTTTTTTTTCCTAGTAGAGTTCAATCAATGAATTGTTTTTTAGTTCCAATAACACCCTTTATAAAACAAATTTCCATTACAAACAATTACCAACCTCATGTCAGAGGATCTCCAGAGTTTCACATCAACAATTGAGACGCTCAAAACAATCTATGCGTTTGAAGATTTATCGTATTTTTTTTATCTTTCTAGCGTGGGACCTAGCAGCAAAGAAGGAACATATTCCAAAGGCATTGGAAATCATAAAATGCGCAGTTTTTAATTGCCTTCATGGCGGGGGAAACAAAAGTAGGAAACTTTGTTATCCATCACACAGGGCAGGCTTTAGATGATTTCATCAAACCACTTCGGGAACTGGAATCAATAATTTTATTTTTATATCAAAATTAGTTTAGCAAAGATTTTTATGGTCCTTTCATGCGTCATGAATTCAAATAACATAGATATCTCTCATCACCATCAAATGTAACGTGCACTAGCCATTACATGGACATCTTATAGAACATAAACATGGAGAGAGAATGAAACTTCAACCGCAAAGTTGATGTACAAAGATTTATGTCCTATATGTTAACCTTCCCCAAATATCAAAGTCAATTTTCAAAGGTAAATTGTATGAAAACTTTTAAGAACAAAATAGGAAGCTTCAAACCTCATGCTTAAGTGAGTATAGAAACCTGCACCATGATACATGTGATAGCTGTGACTCCACATACTGCTGTAGTGTAGATACAAAATGATTGACCTGGTGCCTAGGCATATAGATCAGAGAGACAATTAATATACTTTCAATTTGAATTCTTAAAGCTAGTTCTTGATCAAATTTAAAATTCCTCTGAGGAAGTTAGATTGTTTGAGAAAATGGTCACCCATTTCGCCCTTCTTTAGTTTTTACCCTAGGTTAAAGTTAACCCTGGTAGAAGTAAGACTACCTAACATATAGACAATAAGAATATTCTTAAAAAGTTTAGAGTCATTATGACCACTCTACCCAACATCTCACAGAAATCCTACAATCAAATTTCTTCAATCTTGCTACAGGTAAAAGAAATCGATTGAAACACATCTCCAAACATTTGAGGAATAGGGCAGTTTAAAAGGATTTCTGTCCTACACATCTCATTAAACACATCTTTCAATTAGTCAGACTTGAACCCTTCACCTGTCACACCTCTTGCCTATTCCTTTCTCTTGTTTCCTCCTGTTATTCCCCCTCTTATGGAGGCCAGTAGTCCTACAAATATAGAATGAGAGCAGCACTTTCCATCCTATAAGGCCCCCAAACTTGGTGAACTCAAGATTCAATCCCAGGACTCCCCTACGATGACAACACAGCTTATTAACTGAACCATTCCGCAGGGATGAAAATGTTGGTCGATAGCTCTGACATTTTTGGCCGAAGTATCCTTTTTTACAAGTGTCAACACCAATACTTGGGCAGGGGGTATTCTTCCTCAATGTGGCCAACAATTCATGCTTATGAAGATATTCATCCCAAATAGAAGGGAGGAACAAGATGCAAATTCAAATGAAATAAACTCTCTAAGCATGTTTAACACTATATAAGTCAATTCTAAATCAACGTAAGCCTTACTAGAGTACCCACATACTAACCCAACCAATTAATGTAAATCGATTCCTTCTCTGAGATCAATTACTCCTTTGAACAGAAAAGAAAACCCAAAAAATATCAATAAAACAAGAAATAAACTTTCTCATAATATGACAATCACAACTGCTCCATGTACCTCATCTTCACTAATGCATTAAAATGGCCCGCTCCTGTTTTGTATTGTTCAGAGTGATTATTCTGACTAATTGAATGTACCAAATCCTGCAGATACCAAGAAATAGGATCACTTGAACTACCATGCATTTCCATGACCAAATGTAAGTCCACGTAACTTATGCACCAAAAAAGATTACCATGAATTACCACGCAGTTTAAGAAGAAACAGAAAAGTTAATAAAATCAAGAACATCAAAACAAGCATTATGCAGTCAGAAACTGTGAAAAAAGGTGTAGTGAAAACAAAACTCATGTATCGATTCAAAACTTAATTATTTACAACTGTCAGAGAACACTTATGTCTCAGAAATTCATGGTTAAAAAATGAGAAGGCAAATCAGCCCCAAAAAATTCCCTATCACAAACCGATAGTAGTTAGTTCTGCTTCCAGTTTACTATGTTTTACTTTTTTAATGCTTAAGATTCAGAAGAATGATCAGCTGGTAAAGTACAACAACCAAAACTCAATAGGAGGCATCAAATCACACGGAAACGAAGGAAAAAAAATGCTATGTTACCAACATCTATAAGACAAGTATAGACAAATATTATCCATCCCCCTTCTGAAATTTAGAGCTTCATAGCTCTGGCTAAAAAAGGGAGATTTAAGAGTAGGGGAGGATGAACATCTACAATAAGCTTTTAGCCAGCCAAAGAATCCCTACCTTTAATGGGCGCCATACATCAGTCAATGAGAATATAGCAAGCTTCACTTGCATCAGAAAACTGAATATCTCAGCATATATATTCAATGCACCAGGACTCAAAACAATACTTATGGGCCAATCCACTTGATAACCCAAACCAAGAAAGTTGAAGGAATGGACTCCTGCATCATTGACGAGATACAGTATTAGAGGGTTGTGGGGGTAAAGAGAGAGAGATAACAGAAGAATTGACAAGTGAAAAGTTAGAAATATATGTTTCAAGTTCCAAGCTTAATCTAATCTGAAACGAAGGACAAGAGGGGAGGCACCATATGCCTTTTTCTGGTGGACAATAAATTAATTTGAACAATAATCAAGTAATGTTCCAATAGCTGATGAAACATGTGGGAGTAATGTACCACTAGCAGATGCAGAAAGAGTCATTGCATCATGTCCCTTCATGTACACAAATAACCTGTCCTTATGAAGGTCACGTTCACATGATGACCTCTGAACTGATGACTCAAGTAAACCTTGAATTTCTGAAAGTCTATGATCTGCCTCTGTAACGCACCATTTCTATAATTTCCAGGAAAAAAATTTGAAAAAGAGTCAGGATGGTACCATGATAACTCAGATACTAGTATTGTGTAATGACAGTAGTGATTATTACATGATGCCACAGGGACATAATAAACAAATCAGCCCAGTCCGCTAGTTCCATAAAGTGGTAGCGCCGCAGAGCCAGTAAATGTTCTTGCAAATCAAACCCTTCTTCAAGCAACTTAATAGTTAGCTTGCTGACATACTTATATCTAGTATGTTTAAGGATACCATCTCTCTTCCAACAGAAGTACTTTGAGTAGGACAAAAAACAAATAAGGGATATACAAGACTCGCAAACTTTGGATAGCTAGAAACAATCGAACGCACAAACTGATGGTTGTAAAACTTTCTATGCAGTCCAGAATGTGCTCAACCAAAGCATTTACAAGAAAGAAGAAAATAAGAGGTCTACTGATAAACTTTCCTTCTATGTAATGCACAGAAAAAAGGATACTGAAGCATGATTTCCTGAAGAAGGCATTTGTGAATAATAAAATCAAGTGGTATCTCAAAATTCTCTGGCTTGCATTGTCTGTGATCTTCAACTCTATTAACGACAGTGTCACTAAATCTACCAAGCAAACTCTCCCAACAACTACCACCAGAAACATTTGTTAAATTTGCGTCTGCTTGGTTGTGGTCCTTTGTGTCTGAAATTGGAAGAAAAACAGACACTTTGGCTTTATCAATCAAGACATTCTGTCCACCATAACCTTGTTTGCCAAGGTGATCCCTCCTGACACTGCTTGCTGAGGCACTGGAGTCTGAGAGCCCTGCAGGCGGCTTTTCCAGATACACCTTAAAAGGGTCCTTTATGAAAGAAAAGTCAAAGTAAGGCAAATAGTCCCCCAAGTCTGTTATGTGCCTCTGTCCTGGCTTGGTTATCAGATGAATTAAGTTAGTTTTTATCAACATTGGGTTCATGCTGAGAAAATTGTTATGGGAGTTAACCTTCCAACGTTGTAACGTCAATAAATCTGAAGAAGTATATGTAGCGTTTCGAGATTGATTCTTGCCAGAGGCTTCTTCAATTAAAGCATGAGTCTCAATTCCTTTTTTAAATGTACCTTCCTTTAAGGCCCCTATGATTCTCTCATTCACCTTTGAGGCAGAACCCATTGGATGTGACCTTGGACCATCACTGTACTCTTTATCAATGACAGAATAACTCTCAAATGAACTACTTTCTGGCCAATCCTTAGCAGATATACAATCAACCAACTGAGCGCTAGACATACAAGACCAGTTTGACTCCTTTGGTTTGACGGGCACAGATATCTGGCTTGTAAACATTCCTTCATGATGAGAATGTACAGGGGAATCTCTTTCTTCACAAAATCTATTCGGGTCAGTTATGATATGGCATGAATCTTCACATACACGAGGATTTTGCAAATTATCAACAGGACTACTCATTGAAAAGCTTAAAGCAGATACATATTTTTGTTCCAGCTCATTGATATTATTGGGAAGCTCAATATTCTGCTCCAACACATCTTGCTCTTCAGAATAACTGGAGGTTGAACACTCAGATGACTCGTATGTATCCACCAGATCAGATAGACCATCCCTTGCACTTAATTCATCAAAATCCAAATCAAGAACTGCCCTGAGAATTAGAGAAGTCCAACCATTTATGAAGCTACAATAACATTTGGAAAGAAAGAAAGAAAGAACTAGAAACACGAAAAAGGAGCAAATGTATTCACCAGCCTCTCCCAATCCTAACATGGTAAGAAAACCACACATGCAGAAGCGCAACAGTCATCCAAAAAGCATAGACATGCATGCATTCCCATGCACAAAATAAAAATACATAGACATTCCACAAACAGAAAAGGCGATAGGGGAGTGAGAGAGAGAGAGAGAGAGAGATTACACATGTGACTCCCTTTCATCATCTGTTGGAGAAGCAATAAAACTATCAACTTTGTCATCCAATGTGAACAGAACTGGGATGGTGGAACTCCTTCCATTATTATCCAAGAGAACTCTGCCTTGTGGAACTACCTGCGTAAAGAAAATGAATCAAGTTATAAGAAAACCAGATAACAACACTGCGGAGAAATTTTATGAAAGAAGGCAGACATGAAACCCATGTTTCCTCTCATACAAGACCCTTAATCCTTCAAGAGAGTAGAGAAGTAGATACGAGAGAGGCACCTATAAATTATAATCCATGGCATAATTTACTTTCCAAATATGGGCTGCCTGGAGGTAATCATGGCATGTCAAAAGACCTATCAATATAAGAACAGTTTTATGGCAAAGGACCTAGTGATATCAACTTAAACTTGCACTACGTGCTAAAACCCAATGTGCTCATCATAAGCAGAGTTTCAACGTCACACCATCAGAGATTGCTTCCAACCAGCAATATATACCATTTTAGAACATACCAGAGGAACGTCTTGTAGTTACATCTGGAAAGTGTTAATTCAACCTACGACTATAAGAAAATGACATGACGTGTTTTGGAGTGAAAAATTCAAGGGTAAGAAACTATCAGAGTACTCGCAAATCATACAGACAGTTTATAATTTTTATAAGCCTAGGAATGCAAAGACATCCTACATAAACAATTAAACATTGACCGGAAACTGAATAAAATGCTAATTGCATTGCATGCTGCAAACTAAAAAAACAAAGACAAAAATATTAAAAAAAAACTAATTAGAGTTATAATGCTATTCCATTTCTAATTTCATAGGAGAAACATGGTTTCTATCTAAAGAAACTAAATTATCACAGTCAATAACCTGTTGATATCTGAATTCAAATTTCGCTGAAAGATTCTTTAGTTTTTCTTGCATCTTTTTGTAGTAAGTGTCCCTTGAAAGTATCATGGCCTCAATATTTTCTTTGCTGAAAGTCAATGGAGATGAATAACATGGACTATTGCCCGAAAACCCACTCCAGCAGGGAAGAAACCCCTCATAAGTGTGGTCTTTGGTGGCAACAAAAGTACACAATTCAAGCAATTTCACTAGAACTTGCAGTTGCTGACCAGCTCGAACTAGTGGAATCAAGAAGTCCTTCAAAAAATAAGGAACAGCAACACCATCTCGTTCCTGAGGTGCAAACACCAACTGTGAGAACTCATGTGAAGAAGAGAATGATGAATTCATCAAAAACATAACCTAACTCCAGCTCCAATAGCAAAAGTAATAGCCTTACCCTAATAGTTGCCAATGGGAAGTCAATCGGGTTTCCGGCTTTACCGCATTGATTTGGAGACATACTGTCAACATATTCTACCACAAACTCCTTGTAAGGGTCACTGATCTCAGCTTTGAAAATCCATGATCTAATAAACCCACAATATGGTTCAAATGTACGAAGGAAAATAAATTTGAGTAGAGGACGATGAGCAGGATCAGAAACCTAATAAAATAAATATATATGTCAATGAAGTGTCCACTAGCAAAACCAGAAGTTAAAATTTTAAACTGAATAAATATGTCAATGAAGAGCATAGCATACTAAACAAGGTTTCACAGTCGGGAAAGAAAAGTAAGCTAACCTGTAATTGGGTATACAGATATGTGAGCAAATGCCCTCCTCTGTAGAACTTAGAAAATTCAGATTTTGCTTTTGTAACCAATTCTTCCAAAGAAGATACTGAGAAGCAACTAGAGAACTGATACACGTTACATAAGTTTGTAAGGGATTCGATCTGAGTCCTCAATTCTTTCGTGTGCAAATACAACTCCAACATAGTTAGATCAGAATACACTACACTGTTCATACATCCCACTACAGAAGACGAACGCGAAGAGCGCCTCAAACCCACTGATGCATGCAAGGTATCCAGTGCACGCATGTACCCTTCCACAACCTTTCCCACGGCAACGGCAAAAGCATGATTAACAAGACTAAAAGGAGGGCATTGCTTCACTTGAGCCTCACCAGCAAGATGATCTTGACTTTCCACATTCAAATTCGTAAAGAAGTCCACAAATTTTCGGAGGAGAAAGACTAGCAAACCTGAGCAGCCAATGGGTTGGAGAATGCTTCCCAGAGCATGGGTGCTTGAAGACCTATTCCACAGGCTTGGAATCTGATGGAAGCTCCGATCAGCCGGGTCGGAGCGAAATGCAGCAGAAAGCTTCTGGATACTAACAAGGGCTGATTCGACTCCTCCAAGTGCATTCATCGCCAACCTCACCAAACTTGCCTCCTGTACCCAAATGGTTCAAATTCTTAATTATTTTTTTTTCTTTTAACTTTTAAAGGACATCTACAAAATACAGAAGTTCAATTTTCCCTCAAACCAAACAAGATTCTGACTGAAAATCCAGAAACTTTGGAAAACTGAGATTGAAGAAACCCTAAGTTGAGAGAAGATGGGACTTACGGAGACGGCGGAGGCATGGTCGAGGGACTGAGAGGAAGAGGAGTTGGGGTTTAGAAGGTGGGAATTGCCGCTTTCGGAAGGGATCGATTCCCAATTAGTTGGAGGAAGCCATGGATGTTCCAGCTTTAGATTCTCAAACAACGAGGATGCGAAATTGGTGTCCACTGTCATACTAACGCTGCGGGCACAGGTCCTCGACTTGCCTTCTTCCTGAATTGAGTGTGAGTGAAGGCAGGAGAGACGCATAAATCTCTCACAGGCTCTGTTACCCCGCCAAAGCGATTCCCAATATCACACGCTCTGTTGCTACCAAATTTTTTAAATTAAATTTGCAAAACAAATCTAGATATAAATTATTATATTATTAATTAAGCGTAAATTAACTTGTTTATTTCTTATTAATAACATATCATTTGGTTTGCAATTTTGTGCCTTTAGCATTATCCTTCCTATTATTATAAGAGCATCTCTTTGATATGTCAAAATCCTAAGTGGAATGTCATTGTGTATATTTAACATCAAAAGTCATTCCAACCAAAATGTTACTTGCTGACTAGATTTGAAGAGTTTCTGATTTTGAGTCAAATTTGATATCAATATCAAATTTATTTTTAATTCATTTTAATGGTAGATCCCTTTTTCCACTAACATTTCAAGCAAAAAAAAATTTGTTTCAACATTTTTTAATAATTACAACCATTTAAAACTCTATTTAAATTTTCTCAAAAAAAATTATAAAAAAACTATTTAAATAATAAAAATAATATTTAACATTTCGGTTGGAGAAGTACAAAATTTAACATAAAACTTCAGATTATCACATCAACCATGAACTGTAATTTGACACTTATAATTTAACATTTCTTTTAGAAAGGTCTAATACAAACAATAAATTTATCACATTAACAGTAGGAAATAGATCAACGTTCTGACTTTTGAATGAGTTTATGTCCATTTGTTTTTATACAGTTTGATAACTAAAGCATCTCATGTTTTATTGATTTTTTATAAAAATAATCTTTAGAAATTGCTTTAGTGCACGAAGTTTCGTAAATCGACTTCGTAGTGAATGGTGGAGGAACTCCTACTCATTTATTATTGAAAAGTCAAGTTAATTTCATTCTCTATGAAGTGATGGGGGTTTAGGCTAAGGGCCAGTTTTTGATCTTGCTTGTGGTGGTACATGTTAGCGGTCACATTGTACTTAAAAGAGAGAAATTTTGTGTGCACTTTTAAAAATTAATGAAGGTATTAGAGGGAAGAGAAAATATTCATCAAAAGTTATTGTAGAGAGTTCATTGTTTTTAAACTAATTACGAAATTTGAAGGAGACGAGATATTTTGTAACAAGCAGCAAGCTACAAGAAAAGCCTGGGCTGTGTCCAAGGAAGGAAGGATGCTCATCTTAAGAGACAAGGAAGGAACCTTCACTTTTGCCATGCATCAAGTCAAGTTTGTCACCAATTCTATCTTGCCCCAACCAATTAAACCAAGCATATACTTGAACTTGTTAAACAAAGAACCCCAACAACAACAACAACAGCAACAAAAAAGGAATAACTTAAATCCAACCGATTAAACCATTCATACATGCCAATATCATCATCATGTGTATAACTATAAAACCCAACCAACCATTCCTTACATTTTGCACACCACTACATTCAAATACAAATCTATCTTCTATCTGCTATCTCATACAAGTTAATTAACAAGAGAGGCAGAGTCTAGTCTGATTTACATACATCGATGGAGGGAAAGCCGCTTTCTGCAAACATTAATCGTGTTTATGAAGACATTGAACCGTCAGCTGAATGGGAAAGAGAGGAAGCTTGTGACACTCTCCTCGTTTATCTGCACGGTTTGTTGCTTGCTTGCTTGCCAATCCCCCTTCCTCATAATGCGTCTATATATGTATATATATGTTAACTTATGTGGTGACCAGGACGTTGGATAATGCTGTTGCATTATAATCTCTAATATCTTTTATCATTTCTTAATTTGTCAATGTATCCATAAATCTCTCTACTTAATAAGTAAAATTCATTCTGTTTATTCAATTCATTGGTTTTTGTTTTAGCCCGTCCTGATGCGGGAACTAGTCTAGTACAACACCTTGATGGGGCGTGTTGGAGAATGTTAATTAACAATTATCGAAATTAAGCATGTGATGTGAACTTTTGTTTATTTATCTTTGTTTTTCATGGTCTTTAAAAATGATGAATGGACGAGTGTTGTTTGAGGAGGCTTTGATTGATTCATTGTGCAGGATTTAGAAAGGAGAATCTGAGGATTCAAGTAACGTCGTCTCGCAACATAAGGGTGTTTGGTGAACGCGCACTTGGTCATGACAACAAATGGCAGCGTTTCCGAATGGAATTCCCCATTCCCTTCAACTGCGATACCAACGACATCACTGCTAGATTTGAGAACGGCATTCTCTACGTTAAGCTTCCAAAGACTATTGCTCCCGCAGTAGTTGAATCGAGGGCCAAACCACAAAAGCCACCCACCACCACAGAAGCTCCTAGGCCACCCGCCACGGGAGCTCCAAAGCCACCCAAAGAAGCTCCCAAGCCACCAGCTGTGGAAGCTCCCAAGCCACCCAAAGAAGCTCCCAAGTCACCCACCACAGCAACACCTAAGCCTCAAAAGCCCGCACCCACCACAGAAGCGCCTAAGCCTCAAAAGCCCATAAGCACAAGTGATCTGCCACAGCCTCAACAGAGGACTGATGCTAATCAAGAACAGAACAAGAAAAGCGATGGTGGATCACATTACGTGCCTGAGGTGCCTCCGCGGGCACCGGAGAAAGAGAAGGAACCAATTCATCATCCAAGTACGGTGAAGAAGAGTACTGATAGCCATGCGTTAGCAGAGGCTAGCAATGCTGCTGCTAAAAAACTTGAAGATAATCGGGCGAAAAAGGTTGAGGAGGATTCGACAAAGGAGGAGTATAAAAGGGCAATATTCGGGCACGAGAACACCGCTGGGGGTGTTGATAGGTGCTATAGAGCACAAGGTTATAACTATAAGCAGGTGCTTCAAGGCTTGATCATGGAGCTGAAGCAGCAGCCAAGGAAATTGGTAAACTTGGGTCTGGCATTTTTATTTATTCTGGTACTTGGGTTTTATGTCAAACACGCAATCACTTTCGTTCGGGAATTCAAACGCGAAGAACTCTAAATCTGTAACAGCGTCTTGTGTATAGAAGCCGTTCTAACCGTTGAATAAAATGCATATACTAAATGCATGAATTGAATAAAATGGCTTAACAATTTGGAGGGCTATATATGCCCAATTGGTTTACTTACAATCCATTGTAATTGAAATTTACAGTTTTCTATATTTCATTTCACGATTGAACAATTATGATCGATGTGTTTATGTACTCCTATCATAAAAGCATTCATTCCTTGCAGAAACGAGTACCGGAAATTGACTGGTATAAATATGAACTTCATCCGAACAAAACTCTCTCTTTTCAGGAAGAATTGATCATTTCCTTGTTACCAGATACAGTATTACCGAAGCTGCTAATCAGTGAGCAAAAGGAATGCAATTTATTATAACTCATATGGTTATCAGACTGATGCAAACGGGGATGAGCACGAGAAAAGGCTACTTGCCATCAGTTTTGAGAATTAAACATAAAATTTATTCTAGTATCCGTGTAGAATTAAACATAAAACTAAGTCTGTCGTGTAGAAGACCATTTCTGGTAAAAGTTAGAACCGTCTCCACAACTCAATTGCTTTCTTCATTTGGGAACTCCAGGATGAAGGGAACCCACTTGTCATCACTAATGGGCAGCACCGTTATGTGATTAGGGAGTGAAATATCTGGAAATTGGTTGTAAACTCTAACCCTGTGGCACAGCAAGTAACTCTTCAGTCCACCACCTTTCCATCCATTTGTATCGGAAATTGAAACATCAGCAGGAGGTTTCAGTTTTTTAAATGTTTGAGAGGGACCGCTTTCTTCAGTTGAAGGGAATATCGATTCAGAACATGAGGAAGACTGTCCGGTTTTGTTCATGTTATCCATTAGCACTTCTGCATGAGATGATGAATTTTCTGATGAGACTGACTCTTGAACCTTGATAGCAATGCGTTCATAGAAAAATGGTAAAACAATTTGAAAGCCAATTGCACAAAAACTGGTAGAAAGATGCAAGGTATTAGATGAAGATGTCACCTTTAGTTTCGTTAGCACGGTCCTCATACTTGATAGCTGGAGATAAAACCGATTGATGTTCGTGTATGAGATTCTCAAGTGGCTCAACAGCAATGGTCAAGTCTGAGCTTTGAGTGGTTTTGATGGCACTTTCTAATACATGGGGGGAACTCAGCTTAGTACTCCGACTCAATCCACCTAACAGAAATTAACCTAGCTTCTCAATGTACAACATCATTGACTTTCTGTCATATGAAAATAAGCACAAGCACTGAAGCAAACACGACTCCGAAGTTGGATACAAAAATTTAAATTCTACGTAACATTGTGAAGCGAAATGTTGTAAACGTAACACATTGTTTCCCTAAATCCAGATGATTAAAATCAGACACTGGCAAGTCAACTAAGTCCTAGTAACGAGTCAAAAACCATGTGGAGTGCCAGATAAATCATTTATGCACCTGATGTCTGTCACTGTGAATAATTTGACATCATTATACCCTGCCTTGCCAGGTAAGTATGAAAGAAAAAAAAATTCATATGCAGCAGAAGAATATATACGATTTTTCTGTTTGTAGTGCATGCTCATGCTAAATGAAAACCATAAGAACCTTGCTTCTGCCACCAAAATGAAACAACCGAAAGCTATCATCAGAAAAGAAAGAAGTACTTTAACTTACGCTTTTTTAACGAAATATAGGCAACCTTAGCAGCACTCAGCTCCGCCTGTTTCTTGGATTTCCCTGTTTTCCCGCAGAACTGCTCACCTTCTACCTCCACAGTGGAAGAGAATGTTGGCATATGAGATGCACCGGATTTCACAGTTTTATATGTCGGCATGCAAAAGCCTTCTTCCCGAGCTAACTCCTGCAAAAGATTCTTGTAATGTCCCATCTCATCCTGTACAAGGAAAGTAAGAAAACTTATATTATTCATGTCTGCAACCACTGGAAATTGAGAGAAGAAATGACAGCAACTAGTTTCGAGAACTTGCATTAATTCGGGAGCTGTCTTCTGACAGTGACATCAAAACAGTGTTTGCAGCTGCGCGCTCTGCCTCCTTCAAAGTGTTGTACACCTCTGGATCAGCTGTGAATTGGAAATGTATATGAAACGTTAGTTCCATTTAAGTTAGATTAAGTTTGCCAAGTTGAAATGTGCTTGATTGTCTACTGTTATGTACTCAAAGTAATAATAAAGAGATCACTTTTCATCGTTTAGTAGATGATTTACAGGTTTACAGTGCATGTATTCTGCAGAGCAGTATTGCGAAAAAGAAGTTTTAACGAAAAGCCCACGATACTGTTCACTTTAACGAAAAACTACATTTTTACACTAAAAAGTCAAACTTGGTACTATTCACTTTTACCTTTATTTTGTCCTTATCGTTAAAACTCAAAGTTTTCAAGCCCTTTTCATTAGTTTTCCTTTGCAAAATAGTCTCTTGGTCACCCGGCTACCAAGAAACTGGGACTCGTTATTAGTCCTTGATGAGTCCATTTCATATTATATATTTCACCCTATTGTTAGTATGTTTTCGGGAATTATTTTGGTAGAATTTTGATACTTTGTTTTATATTTTCAATATAGGACATTCGACTTCCTCTAGAGGAAAACATGATCAAACGGACGAATTTTGAAGTGATTCAAATTGGAGGGCGTTCATGTGTCTCTTGGTGTGTTCGTGTCAAAATTTGGAATTTTTCTATCAAGCGGTTATTTTCTGGCGATGGAATAAAAGAGCAATGTGCAGTGCTGGAAAATGACATTTTTAGGCTTAACTTGCGTTTTTGGAGCCCAAGATGACCTCTAAATCTGATGAGTTCGTAGCCTTCTGGAGAAGTGTTCAGAATATTTCAAAGCTTATATCCAGCTATATTGGGCCGATTTTGGAGCAGTTTAGGGGTCCAAAACGTGGCTATGCAGATTTTAGGCGAATTCTACCATTTAATTTAGGGTTATATTTCCTATTTTATTTTAGTATTTAGTTTCCTAGTTGGATTGGAAGACTTTTTATTAGGAGGATTTAATTTTTACTAGGTTAAAAAGAGCTTGGCCGGCCCTAGTTAGAGAATACTTCTTCTCCGTGCATTGTTTGAGAGAGGAAATTGGCCAAGTGTAGAGATTTTCAAACTTTTTCATTCAATGTGTTTTCAATCTTTTATTATTTCAATAAAGAACTATATGATTTTTATTATGAATATGCGTAATTAATTCTCTTTTTGCTAGGGTGAGGCCACGAGTCTTAGCAAGAATATGTAGTATCTTTTCAATTTGCTTATGATTATATGCATGTAGGTTTTCGAATTATTAATCACCGGTTTATACAATCTAATTATCTTGATGATTCGCTACCATTAGGATGTTTAGAAAAGTAATTTGATACAATTTTGGTTGAAGGTCGGTCTTTGAAATTTACGAAGGCTTCTTGTGATTAATATGTGCAAGTTCACTTAGGATGAATGTCATATCCTAAGGGTGGTATGGTTTTTCAAAAGGTTTCACAAAGCTTAATGAGTCATACATGTTTAGATTTGATCTGAATACCACAGACGGCGTATATTAGGAAAACATAACCTTCGAAATATGCATGTAGGTCATAAGTAATTGGGAGAATTTTATAGGATTGTCAAGATGACAGCGGATCCCTAGTGTTTTCTTAACTTGATTTCTACAAAATTGTTTCCTTTTTCCTCATCTTTAATATTGTAGATTGGTTTCCTTTAGGTAGGATTACATACTATGCATGCTATTCTTTACATAATTTTACTGGAAATATGTTTGTATGTGGTGGCAACGCAAAATTATACATTTTGGAGACTAATTAATTTATACATTAAATACAACGCAAGTTAAATCACGGTTTGACATGTACATACCAGCGCCAGAAGAAAGGTTAGAAGAAGGTGGAGAGGTGAAGTGAAAGAAAGCGAGCATGGCAGCTTGGTTTTGGGCTTGTTTGGACGATTTGCAAGCAACCGGGGAATCGAAGGAGAAGCCATTGACCGAAACAGAGGCCCTGAAGCAAGGGTTGTGATCCGGTCCGTCTTTCATGGCCGTGTATGTTGGCAACCCCCATTGCTTCCCATGGCAGACCTCCTGCAGCTTACTCTTGTACATTGTGATCTCAACTCAACTCTCAAGTCCAAGTGGAAGAGCTGAAAGTATATAAGTACCGCTGTTGAGTTGAGTTGAGTAGTTAGGAGCTAACTTATCATTATCTCTTCATGTGAAAAGCATGAGTGCATTTGTAACCAAGAAATCATGAAGAAATTGCAACTCCATATGCATTTCTTCAGAACAAGATGGAAATGTGGATTCTAATTCCGTGCCTAACCAATAAAGAGAGCATGCAGTTAATATGCATTCGGATACGAACTGATGTAGCACATAATATGACAGTAATTGTTGGGTTAAACGAAAATATTACAGGCCAAGGTGAAACAAAGCCCAAGGTTGTGGTGTAAAATATTGTGGAGCCATAAAAGGCCAAGGATGAAGACAAGGCCCAAAATACCGTTTCAGTTAAGGTCGGAACTAAGTTGGGTCGACTAATATTTGAGTCGAAGCTAAGTTACTCAATGTGTGATTTTTTGTAGTTCGAGAATGATTCTTTGCTTGAGATGGGGGCTCTTTAAAGTAAGAATCAAGAATGTTTTTCTAATAGGAACGGTTATTGAAGAACCATAACTATTGCCTAGGATATTCCTTCAGCAATATTCAGTGCCAAGCTAATAAACTTTCTCACCCTTTGATTAGAGGTAGACCTGGTATTTTGGACCCGACCCGTTAGCATGACCCGACCCGACCCGTTAATATTAGCATTTGTGTGGATGCTTAACGGGTCGGGTAGTTAATGGGTGAACCCATTAACAACCCGTTAAATAACGGGTCACTTTGGGTCAACCCGTTAACACCCGTTAGTTGATGATGTTTTAGTAATTTCAGTAAAGTCTTAACAACAAAATATAAACTCTATGCAAAATAATAATAATAATAATAATAATAATAATAGTTGTTAACGGGTGAAATGGGTCGGGTTCGGGTGATCCATTAGCTTAACGAGTTGAGTTCGGATGACCCGTTAACTTAACGGGTCGGGTTGAATCCGACCCAAACCCAATAAACCCGACCGGTTTATAGGTCTAATTAGAGGCTCCTTCTAATTGCTCTGAGCAGGAGAAAAGGTGGGCTGCAATAGTCACAGTCTGAATTTTGACTTGTAGTTTAACTTGCTGCTTGCCTAATTCTTATGGCATGAGTTTCTCACTCTAGATCTAAATGCAAAGACTCATAATCCTATGTTTTTTACAAAACAAAACACAAAAGAAATCTAAGATCCGTTTGGTATTTGATTTGGATCCAATGTTTTCAACTCAAAAACAAGTTTTGAGTCACAAATTTAAGTCTTTTATTTGGTATTTGATTTCAAAACAATTCTCAAAACCACAACTCAAAAATATTTGAACACAAAGCCTATTTGTTGAAAACGCAAAAAGTGTGTTTTAAACATTTTATTTTTTGGGATTCACCACTCACTTTTGTTTGTCTCTCTCTATCACTTACTCCCTCCTCTCTCTTCCTCTCTCTCTCTATGCCACTCACTGCCATCTCTCTCTATCACTCACTCCAGTCTCTCTCCTCATCTCTCTTCTGTGTTGCCTCTTCAATCTCTTCCCACTTGCATTCACCATAGCCACCACCTCTATCCTTCTTCCTCTGACCGAGATAAATCGACGGCAACAAATAGTCATTGGTTTTGGAGGTCGTTGGATCTCAGATTTGAGATCACCAACTTGACCAACCTTGGTTTGTCAGCGTGAGTTTGGAGGAAGGAGTTGGTAAATAGTAAAATGGGTCACCAGGGAGGGGAGGGATGCGGTGGTCGAGAAATTGGTCTGGCCTAGGCATTTATTTTTTCTGTTTTGGATTAGTTTTGAGAAGTTGCATGCCAAACAAGGTTTTGAATTTAAAATTTTTAAATCAAAACATGTGTTTTTAGAAAGAAATCAAAAGTTTAAATTCTGTTCTTAAGTTAGATACCAAACAGGCCCTAAAGTCTTGTTAGATGTTTTTTTTTTTCCAACAATCTTGTTAGGCTTAAAAAAGGAAAATGTTAGGAATACCATTTTCTAAATCACAATTGTTAACTATATGATGTGTCACTAATAGAAATATAAGCACATTAATCAAATAATTAAGTAATAGGGTGAAGTGTCGATTTAGCCCCTGAACTATCACCTCAGTGAAAATTAGGTTCCTGAATTATTTTTTCAGTAAAATAAGTCCCTAAATTAGTTAAAATTGCTAATTTCATCCCTAATATTATATTCAAAGCTATTTTATCCTTTTTATTTTGTCAACTTAAGTCACTTGTGACACACCCGACCCTGATATTCTCCCAAACATCAGGGTAGGCACGTGCTGGCCGACACCCGAAGGTGACGAAGCCATATTAGGATGCATGAGAACTATGAAGAAATAAGACTTATAAATTTAAATATAATGAATATGCAACTTAGGAACTTGTTCAGAGCATACAACTAATTAGAACACTAAAAAGAAATAATATAAAATTGAATGAGCGAAGGAGTGGGTCCTACACCGAGAGGACTCGAAGATGCCGATGCCGAAGGGGGCGCAAAACAAACATGAGTGGACCAAGTTGATATATATATATATATATATATATATATATATATATATATATAATATTGAAACAATTATCAACATACTAACCCCCAAAGTTTAATGAAAACAATAGCATAATATGTAATAGGTTTTCTGAAAACCCTAGCATGCCATAAAATCTTTCATGAAACATATCTCGTATATAGTGTGCTAGTTAGTGGTATCAGTATCAATATCTCTCGGCCCGAAGCCATTAACATATACCTCCTGCCAACCATATATCTCCCTCAGCCTTATTTCTCCCTCGCCCGTAGGCAGAACAATAACCACTAGATACGCACAAAACCATTGAACATAGTCTTTCCAAACATAGGTATACATATCTCAAAAACATCTTCATAGTATAAAGTCATCCATCATCTATACTATAAAGAAGTGTGTAAAAGCATGTTCATAAGCATTATAAAGTCATCCATCATCTATACCACAAAGAACATGAGTTTGATAAAATATGGTATTCCAAAATATTCTCAGTAAGCATAATATCTTGTACAACGTTTCATAAAACGTAGTCATTAAATCATGCTTTTCTTGTATGCATTTCTAATATTAAAACATGCATTTTTGAATGGGTCCACTCATTGATACTCTGCCGCAGAAGAGCCACGCAAAACTAGCGAAGACGGAATCGCCACAATATATGCACCTATGCACATAAAGGGTACAATTAATAAAACTCTATCAAAACTATTGAATTTGGGAAAACAGACGTCAAAAACGGTTTCAGGACTTCGAATTACCCTAAGAAGGGTCCCGTGTAAATTTCAAAAAAAGTCAACACAAAGTATATTCCAGAGAATATTCCCTGACGGAATATTCCATCTGGGTCAACCGGGTTGGGCCTAAAGGGTTTGGGTCTAATGGGTTAAAGGGTATTGGGCTTAGGGTTAAACAGGCCGAGGGCCCTGGGTTCTATATAAGGGGCTTGGCTTAAAAGCTTCGCCCAATGCCTTTGGGTTTTAGAAAATAAAATAAAAAGGTTAACGGGCATAAGGCCCGAGTCCTATACGACCCAAAGGCCTAAACTAAAAGGGTTTTGGGTTAAAGGCTAATTGGGTTGGGTTTAGAGGGTTTTAGGGTTGGGCCTTAAAAGGCCACCGGTTTGTTAGGTGGGTCGCCGAACCTCAAGAAGAAGAAGCCTAGAACACGGCCAAGAACTTTTCTAGCTCTGACGGAGCTCGGAACACCACCAACATACAACAAAATATACATGGAATTGAAGCTCAAAGAGATGGGAGTAATTTTATACTAAAAAACAGGTCAAGTCGTGGTCCGATTCGGTCAGAAAAGTGCTTGCAACAGTCGGCATCCTTACCATAAATTGGGGAGTGCTTCCCCATCTTGTTTCTGTGTACAACAACACTCATCACACCTCCTTTGATGCCATGTGACATAAAAATGGAGAGGTAGAGATTTCTCGATGCTTACCTCACGTTGGAAAGAAGGAAACTCACCGGAGAAGGAAGCTATACAGTAACGGTAACCATGGGGAGGTTAAGGTGATCCTCCCTCAATCCTAACTCCCTGGAATTTGCAGGGAAAGAAGGATGGTGGTGAGTGTTGCTGCTATCGTCTTTGTTAAGGTAGATGGGTGTGTGGGTGTTGCCGGGAAAATGGGAGGGGAGAGTCTGTGCAAGAGAGGGAGAGATAAGGGAGAGTGAGGGAGAAGAAAGAACTGTGAGAGAGAGAGCCTTGGGCCTCGGGGGACACAAACCAAAGGTTGGCCCCTCATGGGCACACCTATTAAGACCCAAAACAATGTTTTAAACCAAAGAATTCCTTAACCAACATGAAATTACAACATTGCCCTTTTGTTCCGTAAATTTTGGGACTAGTTGTTACAACTTGACACACTTTATAGTGTATTTCCGTTCTTGTCTCGCCTATAATAGCCCTTAACATTTCATATAGGTTGTGAATCTAACGTCTAATTTACACTTTAAAGTTAACTCCATACACTATTTCTTTATGTAAAATTACCAATCTACCTTCCAATGTGTATCACATGCAAGTAATGTGACATAAATGGACGGAGAATTGAATATATTAGATTCGAATATATAATTGGCAGATTTTTATAATTCAATGACTGATTTTTCTAAAAAAATAGTTTAGAGACCTAATTTTTACTTAGGTGATAATTCAAAAACTAAATTGGCAGTTCACCCTAAGTAATAATCTAATCATTATCAACCAAATCATATGCTTTATAAAAGAAAAATGCTAAGGAGATTCTCTTAAGGTGAGACTCTTCATGGACTCTTCACCATCTCATATGTTTTGCACAATGCTTTAGAATATTTTGGCATGAATTTGTTTCAAAAATATGAGATGGCAAAAAGTTCATAGAGAATCCCACTTTTAAGAGAGTATTCCAGGATTTCTCTTTATAAAATATAATTTAAATAGATGATGTTGGGAAGGGAATACGGTGCACCATCCAACACCCGATCCCTCGATCAGGTTTTCTATCTCCCTCCTCGCTCCTCCCTCCTCCGACACCACCGCCAGCCCAAAATAAAGGTTCCCCCTCCCCCCTCCCCCCCTCCACCAACCTCCTCCTCTCTCAGCCCTTATCCGCTCACAGCCTCTCCCTCCGTCGCTCTTCAAACCATCAAAATCCGCAATTTTGACAGCCTGACGAAAGCGACGTAAAGCGAAAGAGGTTGGAGTTCTCTCTCGGTTTTCCTTCTCATATTAATTTCTGGTTAAATTATCAGCAAACTTAATCTCTGCTAAACCTCGTATGAATGTCTGTATCAACACACACACAGAGACACCTATGTATATATTTAACAAACAATTTCGACTGTTTAATGTTTCAACAGTGTCTGTAACGGAAAACAAAGGTTTTAGCTGTTTCACATCCATGTCTTTTCACACGTTGACGTTGGTGTGCTTTTTGTTTCTAATTTTGTTTACTGTTATTTTTGCTTAAGGAAAAAATGGTGTCTGAGTTAATAAATGCGAACCCGGTCATCTACGAAAAGAAAAAGCGTCGGGTTCGTAGCGTTCCAAGTGCTGCTGCTGATGAATATGCCGTTGAAGCCATTGACCAGCAAGAGATTTTTGATATCCTTTCTGTAAATACTTGTATTTATGCATTTTACTGTAAGTGTATATGAAGCATCTATGTGTATGCCGAGAAGAATTTTTTGTTTTCTATGAACGAATATTAATCCATTGATTAACTTAATTGCTGTACTTTAATCAGTTTCGAAAGTAGTTTTATGTTTTGTCTTGTATGCCGCGATGAATTTAGTCGTCCTTAACAATTCTTAAATCATATTAGAGATATAAAGGACCCGGAACACCCTTATTCTTTGGAGGAGCTCAAAGTAATAACCGAAGATGCAATTGAAGTCGATGATGGCTGTGGCTACGTCAGGTAGACAGACCTTTTTATGCTCATTTTAAATAGGCTTTTGCCTAATTCTGGCTATGTTTTGAACCCTGTTGGCTAAATGATGATTGTTTTCTTCAGGGTCACGTTTACTCCTACCGTGGAACATTGTAGTATGGCAACAGTTATTGGTCTTTGCTTACGTGTTAAACTCTTAAGGAGCTTGCCTTCTCGTTACAAGGTACGATCTTTATCTTCTTGTTGAATTGGATTCACATTATTCTCTATTACCATGTAATATAGGTTAAATTGGGAGTGAATACCAGGACTCCATCAAATTGAATTTCTGCCCGTATAATAGTACTGTTTTTTAAGCTGTTGAGATGAATGTAAAATGTAACTGTCTGTTTAATTTATGAGATTTGGGTAGAAAAATGGAGAGGGGTTTGTTTGGAGAGTCATATTATTGTGCATTATAATACTATGATATACATACAAAAGAGTCATGCACCATTTCTTATGTTGGGTGAATAAGAGTGGAAGCGGGGAAGACATTGCTCAAGATGTGTTTCTCTACAACAGTGTGATAATATGATGAACCTTTCCTATGTTGTTATTTGGTTGATTTAATATCTTGATGTTTAGCTTACCTCATAGGTCGCAACACGTAGTGGAGATAGACTCTGTATTTGGTCACGATAGTATGCTTTTGATTGATGCCTGGAAGTTGGAATAACTATATAGGTAGGCTCTCAAATTTGGTTGAAAATCAGTAACAATTAGAGTCTGCCTTTTGCGGGTCTTTTTGTGTCCACTTATCTATTTACTTTTTCTGATAAAATGCTAAAAGGCATTCTGAAGTTTCAATTTTGTGAAAGCATCATTTTGTGCTGTTTGTTAAAGAGAATGAGTGTTTAAGGGCATCTTCTGATATGTCCACGCTTGGTGTACAATCCAAGAATAAATGCATAAACATGTAGGCACACAAACACATACTCAAGAAATATTTTACAGCAACCACCTGACATAAGTGTAGAAAATAAATTTTGATCGGAAACAAGTAGTTAACTATGCCTCCAAATTTCAAGTATTGTTGTGAACTATTTGACCATTTGAACACTCTTGTGACGCTGTTTAGAAAAAATTATTGGACGCCCCATATTACTCCAAATTGGAATAGCTCAGTATTGTCAACCTATGATTCATGATGGTCCTTTTGTTTCTTCTCTATTGTACTGATTAAGTCTCAGCCTTTGTAAGCCTGCTAATTTTTTAATCTTTTCATTGTGGTTAGGTGGATATTAGGGTGGCACCGGGATCTCATGCAACCGAAGCTGCCGGTACTCTCTCTTGCTCTCTCTTTCTCTCTCTGGGTTTTTGTGACACATGGTTGGGCTGTGGAATTTCTCATGATTCGTTGATATGATTCTCAAACCAATTCACAATTTATCTTATAGCAACACATTCCATCTACACCAAGCTTACATTGCAATGGTTACTGACATCTGTTTAAAAGAAACCTAGATGAAGTAGTCTTCCGAATAACATGGTAAAGGCATCTTAATAATTTTTTTGATAATTCTTGTCTAGCATTCGTGATTTTACTTTTCTTACGTGTGCAGTTAATAAGCAACTGAATGATAAGGAACGGGTGGCTGCAGCGTTGGAGAACCCGGGCCTCGTTGATATGGTTGATGAATGCCTTTCTCCTTCATACGAGTGAATGAATCGCTTATCTTGACTGATCGACTGGTCCAGTCATCAGTATACTACTTTTCTACCAGATTCATACATCTTGTAGCCACTTATGTTGGTATAATTTGAATGGCCAGTTAAGATGGGGAATATATGGATTAAAAGAAATAGTCCCTTGTTTAAAATTAGTTTCATTGTTTTTCCTCTCGACTGATTTGTATTGTAATAATGTACCACAGAATAGCATTAGTTTATGTTATGTGATTTAGTTTGAGATCAGATTGTTGAATAATTGGGGTTGCTTTGCTTTGATAACTTTATTGTTTGTTTTAAAGATAAATTAAACAGAGAGCGAGGAGATGGAGAAATGCATAGTTCTGATTTACCCTTACACTGTTTAGATGAGGAAATTTAACAACAACAACAACAACAACAACAAAGCCTTTTCCCACTAAGTGGGGTCGGCTATATGAATCTTAGAACGCCATTGCACTCGGTTTTGTGTCATGTCCTCCGTTAGATCCAAGTACTCTAAGCCTTTTCTTAGAGTCTCTTCCAAAGTTTTCCTAGGTCTTCCTCTACCCCTTCGGCCCTGAACCTCTGTCCCGTAGTCACATCTTCGAACCGGAGCGTCAGTCGGCCTTCTTTGCACATGTCCAAATCACCGGAACCGATTTTCTCTCATCTTTCCTTCAATTTCGGCTACTCCTACGTTACCTCGGATATCCTCATTCTCAATCTTATCCTTTCTCGTGTGCCCACACATCCCACGAAGCATCCTCATCTCTGCTACACCCATTTTGTGTACGTGTTGATGTTTCACCGCCCAACATTCTGTGCCATACAACATCGCTGGCCTTCTTGCCGTCTTATAAAATTTTCCCTTGAGCTTCAGTGGCCTACGACGGTCACATAACATGCTGGATGCACTCTTACACTTCATCCATCCAGCTCGTATTCTATGGTTGAGATCTCCATCTAATTCTCCGTTCTCTTGTAAGATAGATCCTAGGTAGCGAAAACGGTCGCTTTTTGTGATCTTCGCTAAATTGCTCCGGTCATTAGTGTGGATAAGTATATAAATGGATAGAGATAGGAAAGCAAACACAAGATGTACGTGGTTCACCCAGATTGGCTACGTCCACGGAATAGAAGAGTTCTCATTAATTGTGAAGGGTTTACACAAGTACATAGGTTCAAGCTCTCCTTTAGTGAGTACAAGTGAATGATTTAGTACAAATGACATTAGAGTACAAATGACATTGGGAAATATTGTGGGAGAATGATCTCGTAATCACGAAACTTCTAAGTATTGGAGTGTGGTATCCTCTTGACTTGCCTTATCTGTCTCATAGGTAGATGTGGCAGCTTCTCTGGAAGTACTCTTCCTCCATCCAGGGGTGGTATCTTTAACTGGTGGAGATGCACAAGGTAATGTATCAATTTCACTTGAAGCTTACTTGTAGTTTCAGGCTTGGTCAAGCGCGATACAAACCATGTAGTAGGAGTCCCCCAAGTCGCCGAGCTAGGGGATTTGCTGAAAGAGGTGACAGACAAGGTAAGCAATCAGAGCTCCGGCTGATTGTTCACCTTCTCCCCATCTTGCAGCAGCATGAAGGATAAAGAGAAGAAAAAATGAGAAGAGATGATATGGGATACTTTTGCTTTTGAAGAAGTAACTTTCCACAGGCTTATTCTTGAACTGAGCTGGAGGGTTTTCTGGTTTCCTCCAGAGTATAAGGCCGACTGAAGAATTTGAGGGTCAAAACAAGTCCATCAAATCTAGAGTACGTTCGACCCTGCTGATATGGGATACTTTTGCTTTTGACAGAGTAATGGATGGATCGGCATGTGTGCTGTTACGCTTGTCTCCACATGCTTCCTTGTATCCTTCGCACTTGCCCTATCTGTTCCTCAAGCAGATGCGTATCTTCCCTGGCAACATAAGATGTTGAAGATGAGTACTCGAGAGCAATGCCAGGTAAGTAATCAGGTAAGGGGTTCCAGGCTGTCAGTTTCTGGCTGGAAGCTTGATTTCAAGTGCTGACTGATTGCTCTCTTTCTCCTTGTCTTGCAGGTAAAAACAAGGCCAAAGGAAAAGACAGGGAAAAAGCATGATATGGGATACTCTTGCTTTTAACCTTGATGATATGAGATATTCTTGCTCTAGTATAGCTTGTTTGCAGAGGTATTATCGGGGGGAAAGAAAGCTGAATATTTCGAAAGACTTCGTTGGGAGTGCCCTCTCAGATATGAGGAAGGGTTGAGCATTTTTGCAGGTCTGCCTGTCCGTTGGGGATGGAGGTCGACATATATAGGAGTCTCCCTAACAACAAGTAGTAATGCTATTCCTTTACCCTGCTTGGTCATAGCACGGTAGTGGGAGCTGCCAGCTTCACATGTTTTAACTCTGTCAGAGCACTTTGAAAAAGTGGTATGTGGTATCTGGCTCTCGAGATTCGGAGAACGATGCTTCTTCGATTTTTGAGAAAGCAATCATGGTGGGGGTCTGGCTCTCGAGATTCGGGGAGCAGTGTCTCTTCGATTTTTGAGAAAGTAATCATGTTGGGAGTCTGGCTCTCGAGATTCGGAAGGTGGTGCCTCTTCGATTTTGGAGTAAGCAATCTTGTTGGGAGTGTTTTCTCGGATGTGAGTAAAGGTTGGGCATGTTTGCTAGTCTACCTTGCCACGAAGCACGGAGGTTGACACACAGGGACTTTCCAATTATCCAGCAGTGGTACTGTTCCTTTACCCTTGTGGGTAATAATATGGTAGCTAGACCTTCAAAATTTATGTGTCTAAACTTTGTTAGTGCTGTTTCTTTGCTATTCTTTTACCTTTCTTGGTCAGAGCGATGTAGTGGGAGCTGCAAGCTTCACGTGCTCAACTTTGGCAGAGACTTTGACAAAGTTATCTGTGGTACCCATGAGCTATTGTTGCGTGTGGGAAGTGGGTGATTGAACAGTAAGATTCAAGTGCTTTCTACTTCACCAGAAGTCTTCGACAGAATGCCCATAATTTCCGCAAAGCTGAGTGTGCGTGTGACAGGTGCTGACAAGGCTAGAAAAGAAGGTGCCTCTTCGATTTCTGAGATCGGCCCTCGTGGTCTCTGAGCAGCCCAGCTTTTGAGAAAGCGAGCGCCTTTTCGATTGATTCGGAGAACGATGCCTCTTCGATTTTTGAGAAAGCAATCATGCTGGGGGTCTGGCTCTCGAGATTCCGGGAGCAGTGTCTCTTCGATTTTTGAGAAAGTAATCATGTTGGGAGTCTGGCTCTCGAGATTCGGAGGGCGGTGCCTCTTCGATTTTGGAGCAAGCAATCTTGTTGGGAGTGTTTTCTCGAATGTGAGTAAAGGTTGGGCATGTTTGCTAGTCTACCTTGCCACGAAGCACAGAGGTTGACACACAGGGACTTTCCAATTATCCAGCAATGGTACTGTTCCTTTACCCTCTCTTCGATTTTTGAGAAAGTAGTCATGTTGGGAGTCTGGCTCTCGAGATTCGGAGGACGGTGCCTCTTCGATTTTGGAGCAAGCAATCTTATTGGGAGTGTTTTCTCGAATGTGAGTAAAGGTTGGGCATGTTTGCTAGTCTACCTTGCCACGAAGGCACAGAGGTTGACACACAGGGACTTTCCAATTATCCAAGCAGTGGTACTGTTCCTTTACCCTTGTGGGTAATAATATGGTAGCTAGACCTTCAAAATTTATGGGTCTAAACTTTGTTAGTGCTGTTTCTTTGCTATTCTTTTACCCTTCTTGGTCAGAACGATGTAGTGGGAGCTGCAAGCTTCACGTGCTCAACTTTGGCAGAGAACTTTGGCAAAGTTATCTGTGGTACCCATGAGCTATTGTTGCGTGTGGGAAGTGGGTGATTGGACAGTAAGATTCATGTGTTTTCTACTTCCCCAGAAGTCTTCGACAGAATACCCATAATTTCCGCAAAGCTGAGTGTGCGTGTGACAGGTGCTGACAAAGGCTGGAAAAGTAGGTGCCTCTTCGATTTCTGAGATCGGCCCTCGTGGTCTCTGGGAGCCCAGCTTTTGAGGAAAGCGAGCGCCTCTTCGATTTCTGAGATCGGCCTTTCGTGGTCTTTGAGCAGCCCAACTTTTGAGAAAGCAAACACCTCTTCGATTTATGAGATCAACCCTCGTGGTCTCTAAGCAGCCCAGCTTTTGAGAAAGCAAACGCCTCTTCGATTTCTGAGCAGGCGCCTCTTCGATGTCTGAAGCTCCGTCGAGTGCAGCAGATTTTATAGGGGCTGGCATTAAGTTCCAAAGCACACTTGAATCTCCACCAGTAGAAGCTCCATTCTTGCACTTCTAAGATCTTGATTTGTCCGACCTCTTCTCTCTTCAACACCTTTGAAAATGTCTGGCCCCTCCGACCGTCGTTTTGACTTGAACCTTGTTGAAGAGGCAGCCCCGCCTTCTCCAGACAACATATGGCGCCCATCCTTCGTCTCCCCTACTGGTCCTCTTACCGTTGGGGATTCCGTGATGAAGAATGATATGACCGCTGCGGTGGTGGCCAGGAACCTTCTCACTCCCAAAGATAACAGACTACTTTCCAAACGGTCTGATGAGTTAGCTGTTAAGGATTCACTGGCTCTCAGTGTTCAGTGTGCAGGTTCTGTGTCTAATATGGCCCAACGCCTATTTGCTCGAACCCGCCAAGTTGAATCATTGGCGGCCGAAGTGATGAGTCTCAAACAGGAGATTAGAGGGCTCAAGCATGAGAATAAACAGTTGCACCGGCTCGCACATGACTATGCTACAAACATGAAGAGGAAGCTTGACCAGATGAAGGAAACTGATGGTCAGGTTTTACTTGATCATCAGAGATTTGTGGGTTTGTTCCAAAGGCATTTATTGCCTTCGTCTTCTGGGGCTGTACCGCGTAATGAAGCTCCAAATGATCAACCTCTGATGCCTCCTCCTTCTAGGGTTTTGTCCAGTACTGAGGCTCCGAATGATCCCCCTCCGATGCCTTCTCTTTCTGGGGCTCTACCGACTGCTGAGACTTCTCCTAAGCAACCTTTGTGAAGGCTCCATCTTGTTTGTTTATTTTGACTCATGTATATGTACATATTTGTAGCTTATCGGGGATATCAATAAATAAGTTTTCCTTCATTTCAACGTATTGTGTTAAATACACCAAAGCCTTCTTCGCTAAGTTCTTTGAATTTTCTTTTATTGAAGCTTGTATGTTGAAGCTTTCTGAGTGGAGCATGTAGGTTGGGGTAGTGTTCCCTTAATTTTTCGAGTGAGGAAAACTTCTCGGTTGGAGACTTG